TCTGACACCAAATTTCCTGCTTAAATAGTTCATGCCCATCAACATTTTTACACAATCCTCACCCTTAAATGGTAAATGGTAACGAGGAAAATTCGCAGTCATTATCCGAGAGTGTGTGTTGGGTAAACCCCGCTTTGTAACCCTAGTCGGAAAATGACCACAATGAGGTAAATCAACCTTGTTGACCATAGCTGATCATTCAAAGCCAGAAAGCCAATTTCAATAGCCCGCTCCTGTTATGAGTCAAACTTGTAACTTTGTGGTTACCAAATCAACAAACTGACCAACTTAACTGGAGGTACCCCCAATCTTGGATACCATTGTGGTAAATCATGGATACCATTACATGAATCCCTGGTGATTTGAGGTTTTGACAGCAGAATTCTTAAACCTCAAACTTTTTGTCCCCATCTGAACCTTCTCCCCTTCTGAGTTCTGAGGATGCTTTTATACACAACACACAGAGAGGGATTGGGTGTGGAGCTGCTGTATAATCAAGAATTTGCATTGTCACCATTTCCAACCACATTAACATGCCATGAAACACAGATTAAGAAGAAATTAAGGTCAGACAGACAACACAGCATGCATGTGAGCAAACAGGAGAGGTTAGAAAAATGCAGGCAGGGATGGTAAGCCAGCTGGATGGGGAGAAAATGAAATTTGTTTTGTATACCATTATGAGAAATGGCTCCATTCCCAGTACTTGTTTGGTGTGTATTGGATTGGAGAGAACATGGAATGCATGTATGGGTGGCAGTTTAATGGTGTGAAAATTTGGGGAAAACTACACAGAACAGATATGGGGTTTCATAGTACAGTCCAAGAAAGAACAAAGCAATGAATTGGAGGTCAGTGAGATACAGTGGTTAATGAGCCAAAAAGGGTCAGAGGAAATAGAGTACAGTGTAATTAAGGAGCTGCTGCCATGGTGCTTGCACTCATTAAGGCAAAGGTCTCATCATATTTACTGTGATAGGCCCTTATCACATACAAAAAATGCAAGATGCCTCTAGGGAAAAGTTACGGTACATATCGACGCCGTGCCTCTTGTGTAAACTCAACTCAAAGTTAAAAAGTGTGGGAACAGCGTTGACCTTGTACTTGGTATAAATTCAAAATCTTCATCATTCGCCATTACGGCAATAGTTAAATGATTGGTTTTAGATGCACCGGGGAAGAAAAGTGGTATAATTATAATATTGTAGAAGTTTAGAGATTTGATAGAGGAAAACAAAATCTAAAAACACCATTAGTTTTAGGGGCAAAATAGAAACTAAAAACCTTGATAGTGCATTATACAGGGGAAATAAAGGTATGCTTTATTTCCGCGGGGTTAGTTTTGTTGGTTCCATCAATCATCCTAAAATCTTGCTCTAATGACAATGTGGGGATCGGAGACCTTAATTGATTAGGGGTGATGAAAGCCCCTTGTGCTGTTGTGCATAGACTGTACAAATAAGGTGTGAGAACCTGGAGACTGACAGAGCGACTCGCGATTTACCTCCTATATAAAAAAATTGGGAGAATTTTTTCTTCAAATTGGGAAAAAACATATTTTAGCTTTTCATTCCTAATGTGCACTGTCATCAATCTTAATGTGCACTTTTTAACATTTAGATTATACACTTTTATACTTCCAAATTTGCATTCTTCTAAATTGCTCGTGTAAATTAGGTCATTATTCTTAGGGCGAGTGTCAAGTCAAAGTTAGGCTATTCTATTCCCATGATTGTGTATAAAGTCTAATTAAACACCACCAAAATATTGTTAAAAAATATTAAAAGGTAATTATATCCTCTACTTATTGTTATCATTCGAGTAAAAAAAAATTAAGACCAACTCTTCAAGTTGCTTAATTGTTTTTTCGTGCACATTGATATATAATGGAGCATCCTAAATACATAATTACACCATTAAGACTTAGAGATTCTATTCATATACATATGAAAGAAATCCTAAGAGGAAATGGAGAGGTGACCATGTTCACACAATCATCCCACTACTATCAGACTTAACTATTTATATTCGTTTTTTATAAATACCCTCAACCATCAAAGATAATGAAAAGCAATTCACATTGTCTAAAAATATTTGTGATTTTTTTTTTGAAATTTTTTAAAATAGTAAAAATAAAACATCTATCATTTACTTGCACACATCATTTCCCCATCCCATTCCATTATGCAGATTCCTTGGGTTTCCAATAGGACACCTTCGGAGTGTGTTGGAACTAGTTTGCCAGTCTCTTGTAAGACTGCTTTGTCCTTCAACAACTTCTTCAAAGGTTCCCAACTCTTCTTGCACTTGTTTTGGTTGCTTTTAATTCTCTTTATATATATATATATATATATATATATATATATATATATATATATATATATAAATTTTAATAGCACATCATTCTTGAATTATAAAAGATAATAGTAGCTGATGGTTTTTTTATTAGGACCGGGTCCACCCAAAATAGTACGTACAAAAAATAACTATGCTACTCAAACCCAGGTGGCTGGGTTGAGAGTATAGACCAGAGACCACTAGATCGTAGTATCTGTCTTGTCCTTCTTGCCCCTTGTTAAGAATCCAAACCCCCTATTTACAGCGTACTCCCTCTGTCCCGTCTACGTGTCCCACGTAACACCGCTATGCCCGCCACTTCCCGCGTCCGTCGGAGCACGTATGCCTGAGAACTGCGTCGAGGCGTCGTGCCACCCTGCATGCGGCTACCCCGTGCGGCCTCATGGTACCGCGTGCTGCCCCTCGCGCGAGGGCACTGGCAGTCGCATACTGTCGCCCCCGCGCGATGGGGGCTGGGTGTGCCGTCGCCGGCCACCCTTCCGGCGGCACCCCACACCATCGGCCTGCTCCCCGTTCGATTCATCCCCGACCCAATAATGTCGGCCTACTAAGTCTTTAATTAGCACATCCCCAATATCCCCATCAATAGCTTTCATTCCTTATATTGTCACCCATTTCCTATCTCGATTGTCTATAAAGCAGATTTTTTGTCATCTCTTACTTTATGTTTTATAAAATAATTTATGTGACATTTTAAGGATTTTGTCAAACATTGCGTGAAAGCACCTCAGATTATGATAACGTACATTGAAGGGTTAAAGCTAGACTTATATTAGTTGTGTTATTAGGCCATAATTTAAAGACCAAAAACACCATTTCCTCCTAAAACTAATTAAACTTAAAAAAAAAAAAAAAAAAATCTCTGAAGATGCAATTAAGTCGGAGAAGTCATCATCCTCTTTGGTCAAATGGTGTTGCAATGATGATATTAATGTCTACACTTGTTTATCTTTCCATTCTTCTATTTCAGGCTGTAGACTGTAGTCCATAAATGAGGAATTCAATATTCCACCAACCAATCAACTCATCATATGTAGAAATTAAAAACATTAAAATGTTGTTAACATTAGCATTGATCATACCCGATACTATCATATATATCTTATATATAATACATGATAAGATTAAATGCTATTGTTAATAATATTTAATATCCTCATGTATGCCATACATAATGACACTAAGTACTTGTATTGATCAACATCATAAAAGTTTTCCGATATAATGAGTACATATACCTATTGACAGCATAAAAGTTTTGCCATCATCGATGATGCAAGAGGGCATGGCAGGTTGTGGCATTGATCCATTGATCTCAGGGGTGTGAAATTGCCAAATAATAAGGGAATAAATGTCTTCACACAACAATGACAACATTAATGGTGTCTGCCTGGTTTTTGCTGGAGAGGGTTCATGCCATATTGGTAATAATCACACAAAATAAACGTCACCCAAGAAGATTGTCAGGCACACCCTTGAATACTCTAAAAAATGGACACCAATTGAGACTATGATTTCAAATTAATCTCTCATGGTTTGAGCTGATCGATTATGAAAAGCCTAAAGTTGAAAGTAATGGCATTGCACCCATATGGCCTAAAGTCGAAAGTAATGGCACTGCACCCATATGGCCATACATATATTGCGTCCACCAATCCAAACTCTCCCTAGGCTTTAGGCTTTAGGATCTGCGTTTTAGATTTTAGGCTGATTTACCTCCTTATTATCCTTTGTTGAGATCAGGATTTACTCAACATGCACTCTCTGACGACAAATTCATATGTGACTTGTTACAAAGGTTTTTATCGAAAGATTAATGTTTCTCAAAAACCACAAAATCGAATCACGAAAATTACATGTTATTTCAAATATTCAAGTAAAAAACTCTTAATATTCATTAGTCACATTAGGGTTGAGCATTCTATGAAAACAACTAAATAAGCATGGAAGATCAAAACTTATAATACCATTATTTACATCATATCATATCTCTATGTGTTTGAATTAGAATTTAGAAATAACCTCCTTGGCGGAGTCGAGGGTGGATACGACGTTGGCGGCGGCGTTTGTGAGGAGAGCGCCGCTGGTTTTCTTGCTCACCGGCTGATGAATAACCTCCACCGCCGGCCTGTGTTCTTGCGCTTGCCCTGCACTTGACTGGTAATCTACCGTCTCCACCTTCCTCTCCATTTGAGCTTCTGCGTTCATTTCCTGACAATTCATTAAAATGAACAAATGAATGAATATTATATGTATCTGCTAATCTCTCCTGGGTTAGTTTACCTTGTTGGATACAGATGTATTCATGGTGGTATGTAGGTAGTTTTTGGTGAAAGGTCATGACAATATATATCAGATTTTATAATTCTTACATGTGGTTTTTCCGATGTTTTTGGGAACTGGAACAACTGGAACTGCTCATTTCCGATCTTCTCGAACGTCTCTGGCTCTCCTATAAATTGTTTCTACCAAATTTTGCCCACTATTATTTGAAATATATATATATATATATATATATATATATATATATATATATATATTTTTTTTTTTGAATGCTACTGACTCTATTACAAAATATATATAATCAATACGCTTAACATTATCGAAAAATACTCCGTAATAAAGAGTCTAGTGCCACTTCATAATAGGAAATTGTACACTATTCATAAAATTTTGTAGTCTATACTGTTCACCCCCAGGGTGCAACATTGGTAAAGTATTCCCCAGCACAATAAAAAATAACAAAAGGAAGTTGCAGAATCTATATATCATTCATGAATTGAAACAAGTAGAAGATGATCAGTAAGTCACGAGGGGTGATCCGCTGCAATGGACATCGGAAGCATCAGCGAACTTTTGCCTGGGAGACAAGGTGATGCTGGCAGCAACATCAACATCGGAATTGATGATAATTTTTCGCTTCTGATTCTCAACTTTCTGCTTGTTGTCTGGTTCTTCTTCAGGTATGTTGTCATCTGCTGGCTCCACTTGCTGTTGCTGAGAGATCATGGCTTGAGCTTCTACAACGATTGATTCATCGCTGTCTGTAGCATATAATATTCTTTTAATCGCTTCAACGACCTGCAGCACAAGACACCAATGGAAAATTCATATTCAATCCTTGTAAATTTCTATGCTTTCTGTAAACAGATAGTGTGAATTAAGGGAGGAATAGATTACTGGTAGATTTTCAATCTCAGGGCACTGGCAAACAATTTCAATATCCCTCAGCTTTGCAAAGTAGAAGTCTCTCTCCTTCTCAAGACTATCTATAGATAATTTCAACTCTGTGATCTGCATATTATAAAAAACATTTCAATATTATTATGGAATATTATTACTTGTATAAAAGATTAATCACAAACTTGTTGAAGTCTACCTGTTTTACATGTGCAGCCTTTTCTGTTTCAGAGTAGACAGGGCGGCCTCCGCTTGAAGAAGGTCTAGAGGTCTTTCCAGAAGGATTTGTGGCACAGCTTGTATTGGTTACATCATTCCTGCGACCATTGTGAGGGGCATGCTTGGTGGAAGCTGCTGCAGTCTTGGCAGAAGGTTGCGGTGCAGCAGATTTCTTGTTCGCTTCTCTTCCACCCTTGCAGGCCTCTCTTCTCTCCAGAGCATTGTAACTGTCACATTGAAGTTTGGGAAACAAACAACAGAAACTTGATGAATAAGTGCATTGATGCAACCAAACTTCTGAAGGCAAAACACAATTGTGTACACTTAAACCTTGCACCAGTGGTGAACAACTAGCAAAACTAGCAATGGCATACAAAATGGTTGTTAAAAAACATAAAGAGGGATTGAAGAATAAGCTATTTTGTTCAAACTAGCTTACTAGCATCAACAAGCTGCCTTTGCAAGTCTATAACATACAGGCTACAATCTTTAACTAAAAGACTAATCAAGCCACCTGATACACCAATCCGAGATAATTAAAAAAAAAATTGTTTATATATCGCATATGTTAACCCATATCCATGTCAGGATTTTCCAAAATCAAACCAAATGATTGAAGCAGATAGAGACAAGAAAATCCAATTCACCCAGGATATGATATACACACAAGCAGTCTAACTGATTCCTAGACTAATCATTGAATCAAATCACAAAAGAAATATCAAATGTGAGAAATTACCCGTGTGTAGCGCCTCCACTGACAGAGTCACAATAGCGCTTCATCCACTGCATGAACTCCAGGTTATCCAGAGGCCTTCCTTTCACCAGTTTGGTCACTTCAATGTGCTGATAACATAATATCAAATCAAATATATATCCAATAAACGCTAGAAACTGTGTATGAAAGAAATTTCAAAAGAGGAGGAAAAAGAGCAAATCAATTTCCTATCCTAATTCAACTACCTGTCATTTCCATTTTCCTACCAGGATATAATTAAAGGCTAGACAGTAAAACTAAAAATATATACTGGTAAAGGTTATTGATAAAGAAGGATCAAAGAAACCTTGGTGATTTTGAGTTTGTTGAAGATATCTTGAAGGACCTTGTAGTTCTGGATCATCTCGTACTCGTTCTTGGCATCGAAATTGACCTTGTGCATCGGCACCATCCCTGGATGAGCGGCATCCATAAGTTGGCAGTGAACTGCACCGGTACAAGCCTGCAACGATATAGAAATTCGAGAGATTATAATCTGAAATTTAGAGAAACCTGGAATCTGAATTCGCCGATTAGGAAGATCTAGGGTTATACCTCTTCGACTTTGGAGAGATTGAGATGGAGAGTGGAATTGATCCAGGAGAGGATCTCAGATCTCCCGATGAAGTAAGCAGAGTCCATCATTCCGATGTTCGACGCCATTTCTTTGCTGTGAATATCTTCTCTACGCCAGTCGAATGAGATGTGGCCTTGTGTGCTTGCCTCTGTGTTGTCTCCGCCGAGTTAGCGATAGACGACGATAGAGAGGGAGTTTGAAGTAGTAAGGGTGGAGCGGGATATCTAGCCGTTATATTTGAATTTTTATAAAACAGGGCGCGTCTGATTCTGGACTTCCCAGTTCCCACGCCTTTGTCATGTTCTTGGCTAATAAAAAATGAGCCACTCAAGTTACAGCTATAATAAAGGGATACAATATAATGATATGAAATGATGCTATTTTACCTTCCAATGTTCATTTATTGTAATTTTTATTTTACCTTCCAATGTTCATTTATTGTAATTTTGTTTTTTAATTTATTAGTTATTGTGAATTGATCAATCTCTCCCCACATTAAAAAGTAAATATGTTTATTAATTAAATAAAAAAATCCTTGAAGTTTATATATATAAAATAAAATAAACAATTAGGTCGCTGAATTTTAAAAAATTGTAATTAAACACATCAGCTTGTCATTTTTGTGCATCTAAACTTAATAAGTTATCATCTACCAGTAGTAACAGGTAATTTAGGGTTTTGATGTCGTTCTCCGCTTGCCGGTTGTCGATTGTCGAAACTCTAATTACCGGTGGATGATCGACTATTGAGTTAAAATGTACAAAAATGATAAGTTAATCTGTTTAATTGTAATTTTTTAAAAAAGTTTAAGGTCTAATAATTTTTTTTGTATAAAATTCAACCGTCTAGTTGACTCTTTAAAAAAAATATTAATTATATATGTCACGTAATAAGGTGAAGTAAAGATGAGAATGTAGAATCACTAATGATATGTAGTAATTTATCAATTTTCTCAAATCTCAATTGTCTTTTATTAGGATAATTCTTAATAAAAAAAATAAAATAAAAAGGGTATATCTTTACTGCATCAATTAGATTGTGAAAAGAAAAAAAAAAAAAAAAAGTGAAAAAAAAAAACCAAGAAAATTCTTTATCAACAAATATTGTGGCAAATGGGAATATTGTTTGGAATCTATCAACATCAATTTAGTTTAATCATCCCAAGGGTATATGAGAATACTCGTTGATGCTCAAATTAGAAGATTCTCACCTAACATATTAAGTAATAATATATCGCTAAAAAAAAAAAAAAAACTTGTATAAAATGTTATGATCATATATAAAATGGACACAACCACACATATGTCGCTAAATTTGAAAAATTATTGGCTAGAATTTTAGAATCAATCTAATAATTCTTCAAAGCTATCATGTTCAGTTTATGTATTAAAGAGCACGAATTAAATTATAAAAAAAGAAAAAAATTATCTAAGATATGTAACACATGTAATATTCTTTAATTAAAATATAATATTTTTTATAAATTTATTGAAAGTATTATATTTTAACATAAATGCATTATACACCTCACGTCTGTCTCACACCAAACTCATTCAACCATTAAAAAAAAAAATCAAGTTCAAACGTTAGTAGCTAAACCATTCGAGAATGAGGGATCGGTTCCTATAAAAATGAAAAACCAGTATATATCTTACATTTATTCACCGCTAAAGCTACAACTGAGAGACTAATTTAACTACTATAAAATAACTAAGAGATTAAAATAATTGTTTTCTCAATAATAAATGATAACAAATGCACTTATCACCGTTCATTTACAGTACTCATTCATTGTTTCCTTCCTGTTTCTGATGGTGGAATACCTACCGGCTACCTTTCATAGGAATAGGAATAGGAATGAGAATTCTACTCCAAAGTTGGCTACTAACCAGTTAATTCAGCATATACCCAAGAGCTTTAACTCTTCATATTTCATACACTTATCCTGAGCATCTGTGAGTTGTTGATCAACGAGATGGAAATCACGGAGTAGTTTGAATGGTACCTTGGATGATCTCATGCCTTCTGAATACCATAATTACATGTCTCAATCTGTTAATCAATTGCGAGATATCGTCTTTCCAGGACCACATAGGGTCGTTAAGGGCGCGGATGGAATTCAAACATACAACAAGTGTTCCACCTTCGTGTAAAAGCACCTGCCATGATAACCACACGGGAAGATAATGACATGATGTTTGCTCGAAAGGAAGAACCAGATGGCACTTGCTGAAGTCAACTTATGAAGAAATGATAGGAATTATATGCAGTTGAATCCCAGTAACAAGAATAGGTAACTTATAACAGAGAAAATAATTGAAAAGAGTCGCACCGTTAACCACAGGGGGAGAAATCCCAATACTGATGTAAGAGAGGCGAAGGCAATGCTAGACAATGCAAGGGCCACATTTTGCTTAATCTGAAAGTAGAGGTGCATCAGTACAAATTGAAAACAGAAATGCAACAAGAGTCTCACTAACCAAAAGGAAGAAAGGATACCAGGGACGTTGTTTGCCGTGATTTGGCCACACAGAATGGAACGCCTGAAATATTGTCTTGCAACAACAACACATCTGCAACAGCTATAGCAGATGCACTGGCACGTTCAGCTAGTACGATGCCTACAGTGGCAGCAGCAAGGGCAGGGGCATCATTGATGCCATCACCTACCATTATAAGCCCACCTGTAGGAAAGGTACAAATATTCTGCTTCAAATACTCCGTGCATTGAGAAGGTATAAATTATTGGGTGTCAAATATTCTTAAGTGCATTTGAAATTAGGGATTTAATATATAGCAAATTAGTTTCAAGCTTAGATGAGATGGAAAATCACCTTTATCTCTGGAAATGCTTGTCACGTGATATAGCTTATCTTCCGGTTTGAGGCTGCAGTGAACTTCTTTGATGCCCACAGCCTTTGCAACTCTCCATGCACTTGCTTCATGGTCACCAGTTAACATCATTACATGAAGTTTTCCTTGTTCACGTAATGTGTGTATGACATCAGAAACCCCGGGTCGAGGCTTATCTTCAAAGTGAAAAAGAGTCACCTATATAGAAAATTTGAATTTAGCTTCAGAAATCTCTGTGCAAGCCAAAGGTTCAGGGTGAAGGTCAATAGTAAGAGCATGCAAAACAATTTATATGAATACAATAATCAGGAAAGAACTTAGACATATAAGGGGTTCACTGCAGATTCATCAAACTTACCAACAATGATGGACAGTTGGACACTAATTGACCAATTGACTTCCAAGTACAAAAACTAGTTGTCCAATTCACGGTTTGACCTCTTTATATGAATAAAATAATCAGAAGAGAAATGACATGGTTAAGACATTTTAACCAAACTTATCGATAATGATGGGGGCATGGTTGATCAATTTATTTCCATGTACAAAAACTAGTTACAACAGCAATACATAGCATTCTTATCTATAAAGGAAAAGTCATCACCTTGTTATTGTTAACAGAAAGTGCAGCACGAACAAAATCTCCTCCATATATAGAAGTCCTTACAGCCTCCTTAATCTTTGTTGATTCATCTTCAGACTGATAAAGTGAAGCAATATATTCAACAGAACCAAGTGAGGCTTTAAATGGTATGCTGCCTCCAGTTCCTGCCTATTAACCAAAAAAAAAAAAAAAAAGTTAATTCAAATGCCTTCCAGTGGAAAAAAAATGGATCTTGCAGAACTAATACCAACACAATTAACTTTACCATGTATTCAAAGCACATACAACAGTATCTAAAATTAGTATTCGTTGCAATTTTGATGAGAAAAGAATAGTGAAGATCTGCAGTGAATGGACAACTATATCCAGACATGCATTGTAAAACCAAATGCATTCATGCCCAAAGATATATGAGTATATAATTTATGTAGACAAGGACATATGTAAGGGACAAAGAAATTATTGGAGTAGGCATATAGGAATGCAGTTGATGGAACCACAACAGCAAGATAGAAGCCACAGAAAGAAGACCAAATTTCATGCTTCTGAATTATCAATTCCACTATACATGGTTACAAGGAAAAGATGAATTTTGGAGCCTTCTAGGAATAGCAGAGTGCCTGGGTCCATTTCTGAGAATTTTACTCAACAATTTCCAACTCATTTAAGTAACTTTCTTTTTCTCACAATAATAGTAATTTAGTTGTGACAAATGAAAATTTAAATAATGTGCTACTATAATGCAATACCTCCATGCTAGATAACGTTGCAAAGACACCTCTCCCGGGCAGATTTTCGAAACTTTCAACAGCAAGTGAAGGGAGATCTTTCCCTGCACTATGATCTATAACAGCTCTGCATAAATAATGAACAGAATGGGTAATGAAAAGGTTCAAGCATTTGTAGCATTCGACTTCCTATATATGATTCTGTATGCACGTCATGGAGTCCAATCTTACAACAAGAGATTTAATATCCAGTACTAAAAGCATAAATTCAGCAATCATATTATCATATGGAATGAGTCCCTTTCATTTGAGAAAATGGCAAAAAAATTGGTATTCTTCCTCACATGCAAGGCTCACTAGATATCGATAGTAAGGGCAAAAAAATAACAATCCAACAATATCTACAGTCAAAGGCAAGATGCGTAAACAATGTTCAACTTTATGAAAATTGATTCTTAAATCTTAACATGGAAGATTCTTATTTTACTCTAGACTAGATAATGTGGATGTTCTATTTTTTTTTTAGAGTATCAAAAGTCCCAAAAGATTTTTTTTTTTTTTTTTTTTTTTTAAAGAAGAAGAAGAAGAAGAAGAAGAAGAAGAAGAAAGAATAGAGCTATATAGAATAATATCCTGGACTAGGAGGTCTTAGGAACTAAAGGGTTTTCTGTCCATTTGAAAACAGCAATTTAGCAGTAAAGGGCACCAAACATAATGCCATTTAATAAACAACCTTCCAATTGGGTGAGTAGTACCCTTCTCCATAGCAGCGGCAACTGCAAGGGCTTCTGTCTCACAAGTGGGTTTACAACAACAAGCAAATTGTCTCTCCTGACTGCTCATGTGGCCATGGATTGGTTCAATTGCTTTGCACATAAAATCCCCAGTTGTCAAAGTACCGGTTTTATCAAATGCAATACTGTGGCAAGAAGCTAGAGCATCAAGAACTTGCCCACCTTTAAGTAATATTCCCTACGAACAAAATGCACTAAAGCTATGAATAATACGATTCCACAAATGGTACCAGGGCATGAGTTGTTCTGCTCCAAGCTCAGC